CTGTTTCTGGGGTTGGACGTCAGAGAGTGTGTGAAAGGATATCGATGTTAACAATAGCGTCGCAATGACCCTAACAGACACTCATACCCTGAACCCAAAGTCCGGAAAACCCTAAGACTCCAGAAAAGGTCACCAAACCGCAAGCATCTGCAGGCAAGCAGCACCTATCTTTAAGCTGCGCCCTGGTACTCTTGCTCTAGGAGCCTAGGTTTGTGAGGGGAAATAACGAATTGTAGGTTGCTCTTTAGGATTTGGGCTTGGTTTCAGTTGTTAGGGCTAGGGCTGTTGGCTTGCGAGGCGCTTGACTTGAATCGATGGTAACTCTATGCCTCTATGCCTCCACCTTGTCTTTCTTGTAGGCCTTGCGGGCCCCCGAGGTCCGGGTTATAGTGAAAATGATCATGTCAGGGTCCAGGCGATCAGTGCCTGGTTTAGCCCCAACCCTCCACCTTCACACCCCCAAATGACCGAATCTGAAAAACTCCAGAAAAACGCAGCGACTCCTCGACGGCCATGACAGTGTTCGAGAAGGTGCCAGCGGCGCTGCGGTGCACTGGAACAGACAACGTGCCTATGCTGGCCTTTGGGTCTTTGGGGCTCTGATCCCATGCGAGGACTCAGGGCTGTCGATACTTAGGTTTGCAGCTGGCCACCAGGCTTGCTCACTGCGGTCTGGAAGGCTTACGGCTTATCGAAGATTCCTTCTCTGACTTTTCACTGAAACGATGCTTCAGGCTGCTGTCGGGAGGAATGTGATAGCGAAGCCTATGCCTGCGAAGGTTTGGCAGATGCAGGGAGCTGGGGATGTGTTGTACAGTTATGGTATGTGTGTGTGTATATATATATATGTATGTATGTATGTATGTATGTATGTATGTATGTATATGGTGCTGATAACAGACATTGTCGAATAACATGTTGCCATAGTGCCATAGTCCTTTCACGGTAGGTCCGGCTGAGTAAGAATGAGGTCTCCCTGACTGAAGCCCTCAAACTTGAGGACTTGCTGTCTGCAGTCTGCCTAAACCTTAAATCCCTGCCTAGGCGGCAGGCTGAAGGCTTCACGTTTTCTTTCTTTCGCACTGTGAGTCACAGCCGGCCGTTAGCTTTGTGTTTTGGGTGAAGGCTGCCAAACCTTGCAGGCATCTAAAAGGCTTCGATGCTTTGTACAATATGATCCAGTGCTTGATCCATCGGGGAAGGAAATGCTCAAGCCTCCATGCCGCAGGAACTGCTCCAAGCCCTTAAGCCGAAACGGAACGATGAACCCCCAACCCGAACTTCAGCAGAGCTAATACATAGGGTCGAAGGAAAGCTTGTTTCTGCTTACCAATTACATGTACATATCACCCGCGACTGTGCAATGTCTGACATTTGCATGGCATCATAATGTCTGTATTTCTTTTCGGACCTGCATCCGGTAAGGTTTCGTAGCCCAGTGCTTTCAATGTGACGGCCTTGTACCGAAGCCCAAAACTAGACTCACGGTTCACGGCTAGCCAGCTTAGGGTTACTGATGTCGGGATGCCATGCCGGGTTTGTAGACTAACAAAAAGTCAAAGCATATATCTTGAATCTACTTGTCGCAGATGGTGCAATGCGCAATACCCCGTAGGAAAAAAACCGAGGCGACTTACCATGCTAGTGGTATGTGTTATGCGCAATACCCCGTAGGAAAAACCGAGGCGACTTACCATGCTAGTGGTATGGGTTACAAGAAGCAAGCAAGATCGAAAACACAACACACCAACTTGAAGTGCAATGCTGCTGAAATCCCAAACCGCCGATGAAAGACGTTATACCCATGTGGAAGCTCGCCAACCTAGTCCAGCTTCCCGTCTGAAAGTGTGCCAGCTCTGGGCCTTATGTACGATCTAACATGCGAGGTCGCCGTGCTGTGCTTGTACAGCCACCGCAACCAGAGTTCAACACTGTAGAATAGGATACTAGCAGCACTGCAACGTTTTGGCCTAGAGTCTCTTGCGGCTGAGGCTGAACTATCATGCCTGTATCCGCTGGCAGGCCGTCCAGCCCGGCGAGATTCTTCCAGGTTCCACAGAATGCTCTAACGACTCTAACCCGAAGCCCGAGTCCCAAGTCGTCCAGCTTTTTGGACCTGCTGCAAACTGCAGGTGGATAGGCCGCACTACATACCTACAGCAGGGGCTCGATCCGAAAGGAGGTCTGCCTTGAGTCTATTTGAGCATCTATGCTGAACCCAAACCTTGAGTCCGAAGACTTTAAGCCTTGCTTCCTAAGTCATACCCGAAACCTATAGACACGAAAACAAAATGCCCAAAGCCCAAAAACCGCGATCCCCGAGACCGAAACCGAACCCAGGCCTCGAAGCCCTAAGCTCCATGCAACAACAACGCAAACATCCCAAAAGCCCATCGTCAAACCCCAAACCTCCTAAAAAGACGAAGCCCAAAGCCGAAGGAGCTGAAACCCAACACCCCAAACCACAACGCCAGCTCGGCGCTGAACCTGAAAGCTCTTAATCCCTAAATACTAAACAGCAAAACCAGGTCATATCACTTCTTGGAACGTCGGTGTTGAAAAAAGCTTTGGACCCGAGGCTTTCCTTTTAGCAAAAGGCTTAGGATTTGCAGGATTTAGGAAGTGCTTTCGGGGCAAGCTCATAGGCAAATTCATGTTTCGGGGTCTATTCTACCTGGACCTTCCTTTGTAACACTTATTTCGGTCCTTTGAGGGTTTGTTATGGATATTGGGTAAAGTGTACCATAAATCTGTTGCCGGCCATAAACTTATAAAAGCGGCTGTTTCTTCAATTCTAGGGTTTAATGTACCATGCATAGTGCATGAAGTTACATATGTGTATCTCTTCTGTCTCGACTCAACATTTCAGCATCAAAACCGAACCGCCCTTCCTACGATCGGCCCTGAGGTGCGGCCCTGCTGTATGTTGTGCACAGGTCCATCCATGCCATCCATAGAGTACCTGCGATTGCAGCAGGCCCGCATGGTGCGTGTTCTCGGAACACATGATCACGATCTTCGGGGCCAGCCCATCTTGTTTATGCAGTTCTGGAGAATGTTGCGATGTTGAAGTGAGCTTGAGCCTCGATGTGTTGTCAACTTCCAATCTCTGCGGCCCGCAAGGCTCCAATGTTCATGAACATGTGTGGTATGGCAACCATCGGTCGTATAAAGGATATATAGCCTATAGGCTAAGAAGCTTCTTGCAAATGTGTGCGGATGCAATGGCCGACACTGGCTGCCCAGTGCTTTCGGCATGGAAAGCTAGTCCAGTCATCATGAATCAACTTTTGAAGGACAAGCTTGTGATCTTGCAGTATGAACATCTGGGACGAGCTTCATTGGCTGACAATATCGACCTCCTTGCTCCCCTGATTAGCCACGTTGGTTTCTTGGTTTAACGTACATATACAGCATGACCTGATCCGCTATCGTGTAGCACATGCACATCCCTTGTATCCCCAGGTCTTCGGCCGACCGTGCCAATCATTGCGGAGTATTTGTCGAGGTTTTATATGTTGAATCTTCCTCGGACAAGGAAGGCTCCCGGAGGCGGAAAAATACACATACAATCAGCTCCGATTGATTTGCATTTGCGGCTGCATGTATCTGACAGGTCCCGAGCTGCAGGCGCAAGCTTGGATAGTTCGAAATATGGTGACGATTTTCGCGAAGGTCGCGAAACGCCCTCACACCCCGAGGGATGCTGGTGTCCGTCGGCTCTTCGATGCATCGGGCATTCCTATTCCGCAAAGCACCTAGCCCGAATCAGTTCATACCCCGATGCCCGTATACAGCATTGTGAAAATGTACACTACACCCCGAGGCCATAAGCCTTAAACCCGATCCGATTTTCAACAGTTCAACCTTGCATTCCCTAAGCCCTGACCTAAACCCTTTGAACTCCGATTGCTACCCGAGGCGGCACTTCGTCCGTTGGTGGTCGCGAGGAAGACACGTCTTCTTCTTCCTCCGGGTCGCATGAAGCAGGGGAGTCAGAGGCCATGGAGGAGGATGCAGAAGTTGATGACATCCTAGCACCACCTTCTACCGAAGCCCCGGTCCTAGCACCGCCTACCGAAGCCCCGATCCTGGCTCCCGAAGCCCTAGCCCCACCTGCTACCGAAGCCCGGATCGTAGCAGCTACCGAAGCAGATGCTGCCGAATCCCCCATCCTAGCTCCACCTGCTGAAGCCTCGATCCCAACCGAACCACATGCCGCAACCAACCAGTCTCCGAAACCAAAACTCGAGTCGCACGGGAAAGCCACAGCCGAAGCCACCAGGATGCACCGGTGATTGTGCGCAAGGGCTTATGGGGTTGACGATTCCGGGGTCTAGGTTTCGGAATACCTTCGCGGGATTGAGATGTGGGATTTCGGGTGCTACTTTATAGCATGCATAGCTAGCAATGTGATCGGCGCTTAGCCTAGGTGCTTGATGAGAAGAAGCTTGCAAAGCTGAGCCTGCCAGGCTGCATGTCTGGCACAATCTGTCTTATAAACCCTAAACCCTACACCCTACACCCCTAAACCCTAAGCCCTAAACTGGAAACCCTAAACCCTGAACCCTAGGAGATACTATGCAAACCCTAAATCTCGGCTGCAGGTGTGGTTCCTCGTGGCACGGCTTCCGTATCTTCCGGCTCGAGTATGATCGTGACGCCACCTCCGAAAGGCTTCAAGGCAGCAGTGGTGGTGCATGTGGTTTCCCATGTGGTTTGCTTAGTTCCGAGGTTTGCCTTACTCACCACGGTCTGAAGCAAAGAAGAGGGGCGAGCATTATTTCGTCAAGTGCAGAACACATGGCTACCGCTGCTTGAATTGTGATTCCTGCAGTCCAGATATAGCTGCTATCAAGGCTGTGAAGTGCATTAAGCCAGAGGCTGAGGCTCGCTTGGAGGCTGAGGCCTTGGCCGAGCTAAGGGAGCTTAAGGATCTGGAGGCCGAAGGCCATCTACTCCAGGACTTGTTGGCCCAGGAGCAACGAGAGCTGGAAGCAATGATGCTGGAGGCTGAGATGGCGGAACTTGAAAGGCTGGTTGCTCTAGAGGAAGAGCAGATTATGCAAGCAAAAGTCTTGAGCTTGGAGGAAGCTGCAAAGGCATCCTGGGTTGAGGCTTCAGCACCTGAGGCTTCCAAGAGGCCCCATCAGCCCTCAGAGAAGGTCTTGGCAGCAACAGCAAGCGATGCAAAGAGACCCTGTGTAGAAGCACCCCAGAAGCCCTCGGTGTTGCCGGCAACAACAAGCGATGCAAAGACGCCCCGTGTAGAAGCACCCCAGAAGCCCTCAGAGAAGGTGTTGTCGGCAACAACAAGCGATGCAAAGAGGCCCCGTGTAGAAGCACCCCAGAAGCCCTCAGAGAAGGTGTTGCCAGCAACAGCAAGCGATGCAAAGAGGCCCCGTGTAGAAGCACCCGAGGAGGTTCAGCAAACCCCAGAGAAGGTTTTGCCAAAGAGGCCTCGAACCAGTCCGGATGCTGAGACAGTGGCAAAGAGTGCATTGCTAGCTGGGACGGACATTCCTTCAGGTACTGGACCCTTGGCTGAACTGTACATGTACAATACAAGCCCCGGTAATCAATATTTAAATGCAATTCCTTCCCTATACGCGCAGCCTAGGACCTGACTGCTTCGATACTCTTCCGTACGACATGGAGATGGTGAGCCTCGACAGCAAGCTCTTCGAGATGGCGGAGCCCGAGCACCTGAGCGCAGAGGCTAAGGCTGCTGGCTCGGGACAGCCAGCCCTGCTTCGCTTGGGCCAGGTTGATGAGGAGGGCTCTCAGGCGACAGATCCCGATGATGATGCTGATGATGATGGCAGTGCTGATGAAGTTCGGAGCCACGTCACCCTTCACTACGATCCAAATGGGGATGCCGTTTAGCTGAATAGCATGCATGGCTGTATCCTGAAAAAATCAGTGGTGCATACAATCCCAACCCAAAACATCAAACCCTATAAACCCTATAGCTAAACCCTAAACCCGAAACCCTAAACCCTAAATGTATCCCCGCCTGCCTAAGGATCGCAGCTGCTCTCCGATTCCAGCTGAATCCGATGCTGTCACCCCGACCGAACCCGAAGGGGAAGTCCCGACTGAAGCAGATGGCTCGCCAGTCTTGCCACCCTGCCCTTCCTCAGGCGATGCAAAGGCCTTATGTCCTGCAGAGCAGAATCGGATGAGTGGGGCCAAGGCTAAAACCAAAGCGAAAGCAAAAGCTAAGTGCAAAGTCTTGATTTCCAAGCCCGACCGAAGTGCTTCAGAGGACGCTGAGAGTGATGATGATGACGAGGATGAGCCTGTTAGCTTCAAGCGGCCAGCAGGCCGTGGTCTGCCCCGGGGCGGTCGTGGAGCCACTGCCTGTGGGCGGGGCAGAGGGCGTGGACGTGGCAGGGGTCGGGGAGCCAAGGCAAAGAATGATGAGGATGAAGATGCTGAGGAGATGTCACAGGAGGAGCAAGAGGAGGGAGACGATGCCAAGAGCCGGGTTTCGAAGAAGGAGAAAGGAGATGCCAAGGCCAAAGCCAAGCCCAGAGGTAAGGCGAAAGCCAAGGCGACAGCCACCAAGAAGAAAAGTAAGGAACAGCTTGCAAAGGAAGCCAAGAGCCGGAAATCCGTTGCATACCACAAAGCCTTTAAAAGCGCAAAGGATGAAGGTAAGCCAGATGCTGAATGCAGACGTGCTGCAAAGGAGGTGTGTCTGTGCACTTGTGTCGTGGAGAGAGCCCATGCATGTTCTTATGTTTTCTTTAATGAATTGTCTGTGTGTGTGTGTGCAGGCATACAGCAAGACGTCCTGATTTGTGGAGCCGTGACTGTACGTTTTCACGTGGATGCAGCAAGAACATCCATGGGTTATCCAGCAGCACAGACGTGCAAGCCTTTTGGAGTTTGCCAGTTTGTCTGCTGTGGGGATAGGTGCTCGCACCAGGGGTTTCAAGTTCCGGGCCGGTGCTAACATCGTGCTCAAGATTCGCCGTCTGTGTGAAAATACAGAACCATGCAGCTTGCATTGCTTCGCCCGCCGATGTATGTGTGCACGTAGTGCGGACCCAAAACCCAACCCCACTTGCCAGGATGCCTCCACGACGCCAGCCTCGTGTTCGCCAGTGGCAAGTTCGCAGTTGCCTTGCAGGCGGCTTTCTGTTGAAGCTTCGTGGGCAGATTGGTCATGCTTGAGTGAGAACCTCTCTGCATGCAGCTGGTTTTGAGCTTGGGGTCTTGAACATGTGAAGCCGCATATTGCATATGTACATTGTAGCAAGTGTATATTGCCTGGACGAGAACGCACAGTTTGGACTCAGGGCCTCTAGATAGAGCTTCCCGATCTTGTGTGTGCAATGGAGCTGGAGAGCTCGTTGGTTGCAAACCTGGTGCAAGTGCAAGCGCCAAAGGCTGCTCGGAAAAATCGTACACACGTACCCGTGAAAGCACAAGACGAAGCGAGCCCAGGTGTTCATTGCCACAGCCGCTTATCTTGCAATACTGCCCTGCTTGCCCTAATCCCAAACAGCCCTGAACCCTATATATCTTATGCCCCAAACCCGGAACCTAGCTTTATATATTAAAAAATAAACCCTGAACCCTTAAACCCCGAACCCGGAACCTTATGGAACTATATATAAACCCTGAACCCTTAAAACCCCAAACCCGGAACCCTAGCTAGAACTGCTATACACCGTGATCCCTTAAAACCCCAAACCCAACTTGCACCCAACCCTAGAGATCTCTCTCTCTCTCTCTCTCTCTTTTTTCTCTCTCTCTCTCTCTCTCTGCCTCTCTCTCGCTCCCTCTGTGTTTTCAAAAGCCTGCCCACCTCCTAGGTATTGTTGCTTCGCTGGATGGAAACATTATCCTATGATGGGACCTACGAGTTCTTTGAATTGTTTGCCGGAGAGGGCAAAGTTACGCAACTGTGGTGACGGTCTCATTTGCTAGTGTACCCATGCCGAACAACACTCCATGCAAACAAATCAATGAATCCCACCCCAGGCATGCCAAAGGCTACCGCACCGCCAGCTTCGACAAGGTCTACGGGGGCCCCATGGACTTTCTCAAAAGTTCGGGCTTCACGAGTGATGGCTGCAATTTTGTTCGTGAGTTCAGTACCTATAGTTCTTGCATGGTGTCGGCAAGTCATGCATATGTCTTAAGGATTGCTTGCTGGGTCGTGATGAATGAAGTCCCCGACGGGTTTAACCTCGTCGGCCCCGATTGCTCCAGCTGGGGCATGCCAGCAAGATCCACCAGCATGCGGTCGAGCATAAACCCGTTTGGGAGAATGGGGATCGACTGGGTGTCTTCGAACTACAGCTTGGTGAGCAGGCCATGCCACTCATGTTCACACAGTCTTTGGCATTTATGTCCTAGCTGTGTAGTATATACAGATCATATAACTAGTTTTTCGGAATCCACGCGAGGCTTGTGCTGCTCCTGCTCCTTATGCTTGCTCGACATTGCACTTGGATGATAGAGCAGCCCGTTCATAGCTTGCTGAAGAACCACCAAAGATGGCAATGGATGACCAACCGGGTTGTAAAGGCTTCTCAACTGATCGAGTGTTACCATACCTTGAGCCCTAGTTAGAGTGCATGAGTCCTCAGGTTTATGAGCAGACTTTCTGGATGATGCACCACGGTTGCGGATCCCCCAAAAGAACTATTGTTCTATCGCCTATGGCCACCATTTCCGAGCTGGACCTTGGACGTCTTAGCAAAGCCGAGAAAGCCAAGCTCACCAAGATCACAACAGTTCGTGCCACGCCTGAACCAGAAACCCGATAGCTACCTGCCCCCTAAACCCATACACTTTAATTCAGCCTTGAACCATGCTCAACCCAGGTCGGCACCTTGGCAAAGACGGCAAGATGAAGTTCACTGGCCAGAAGAAGGAGCTGAAGCAATCTGGGCGCCTCGCTAGTCATCAAGGGTTTTGGGAATCGAGGGTTGTCGGGATTCAGAGTAGAAGCAAGGCGAGGGCCAGAGAGGTAGAGGGACACCGGGGGCAGAGAGAGAGAGAGAGACCTAGACAAGACAGAGAGAGAGGGAGGGGTTTGGGATCTTTTGTTGGGTGGCTTGGGGTGTTCCGATCTTGAGTGTTCTGGTCTTCGGCTTATATTTAGGGCTATCCGGTTTCAGCTATTGAGGTGTTTTGCCTTGGGAAAAAGAGTAGGCTTCTTGGTGCTTGCAGGGCTAGGGTTTAGGGCGGTGCAGGGGTGCCACCGATGAGTTTGTTTGTTTCTACAACTATCTATATATATATATGTATATATAACTTCGGTGCATTAGTGTGGTGGCCCGATCTTTTTCACATTGCTGCCATAGCTCTGGGTCCGTTATTGCAGCAAGTGTAAATAAGGCCGGTATATATATATATATATGTGTGTATATATATATATGTATGCTAGCTATCTACAGACTAACGTATATACTTCCATATATATATAATATGATAGACATATATAAACAAAAGTCATAGCTAAGGCGGGTGCATAAATGGGTTATATAGGTACATATATATATATATATATTAATATATATATATATATAAACATATAGCTGGTATGTAGGTAGGTAGGCAGGTAGGTAGGTTCGGTGGTAGGTAGGTAGGTTCGGTGGGGTAGGTAGGTAGGTAGGTAGGTAGGTAGGTAGGTAGGTAGGTAGGTAGGTGGGTAGGTAGGTAGCTAGGTACGTAGTTGGGTAGGTTCGTTGGGTAGGTTAGTAGGTCGGTCGGGGTGGGTCGGTAGGTCGGTAGGTAGGTAGGTAGGTAGGTAGGTAGGTAGGAAGGAGTCAAAGACCCAAACCTTGCAATCAGATTCTCAGCCACGCAGCAGTTGCTACATCCCCAACAGCATTGCCAAAAAACCCTAAACCCTAAACCCAAACCCGAAACCCTAACCCTAAACCCAAACCCGAAACCCTAACCCTAAACCCAACCCTATAACAAAGCATGCTAGTGACTCTGAACCCTGAGCCGAAAACCCTCACGCCTGAGCCTAAGCGCCAAGTGCCTACACCACGAAATTTGGGGAGAACCTCCTCAAAGCCTACGAAAATTGGCGGGCGATGCCGGCTTCCGCTCGGGGTGATCTACGAGGTTGCCAGGCCGTAGATTACCGGAAGAGTGACCGGGAAATATTCGATGATCTCCCAATGGGCGACTTGTGGTTGGACAGTCGTGTTCACGAAGTGTTTCTTTACCTTTACGGATGCAAGCATGTGATGCTTCTTGGTTCAACAAGCTGCCCGGTTTTTGCAGCCAGTGCTTTCTGCTACATGCAGTGATAACACAGCCTAGGATACCAGACAGCTGGCTCGCTTCGATGAAACGATTCCGGGAAGAAGTTCTAGGTGCTGTGCCTTGGCTCTAGATGGTATTCATGTAAACAAGCAGAACCGCCCGCCATACCCAAGGCATGCGGGTCTGATGATCTGCGAAGTGAACTGCAAGAGCTACTTCAGCAGTCTTAAGTTGCAGGCCTTGCTAGAAGGACTTAGCATAGGGCTTTGGGTGCGAGCCAAACCACATAACCCTAAACCCTAAACCCTAAGAATATAATAATAATAATAATATTATTATTATTAATAATATAATATACAATATATAATATATATATATATATATTTATTTATTTATTTATTTATTACATATATAATATATTGTGTATGTATATATATATATATTCATTCTAAACCCTAAACTTTAAAAATCCTTAAACCCCAAATTGAGCCCGGGCCACAGAGCCAGCCTAATCAAGGGCTTAGTGGCTTAGGCTAGCTTAATGGCACAAGGCCCACTACACAGGTGGCAGCCTATCCTTTTCGCCGGGCCTTGCAACTACGAATTAGTTCGAAGGTTTAAGCTTGGGCCCTTGATCCGGCTCCCCCAAATGCGAAGACTTGGAAGCCTAAGGGTTCATGTGTAGTTCGGATCCAGGCCCCTGGGAAACCTAATTCGAAGGAACAGGCCGCCTCAAAAGCCTGCTGCAATTCCGAGAGCCCACAAAACTAGCTAGGCCAGCCATTGAAACCGAAGCCCAGGAACCTATGCCACCCTATATATAGATTATTCAAACCCCAATTTATTAATAATGCCCTCGCCCAAACCCGCAACCCGCAAACCCGCAACCCCGCAACACCTGCCAAGACTATCGAGAAGGGCTTTAGAAGCAGGCTTTTGGACGCAGGGCCCCCGAAGGCCTCCCGCAGACGTAGATCCGGGGCCCCTCGCGAAGACTAGTTTAAAGGCGCTGGTGGGAGCTGTTTGGGTGTTGTAGCACAAATCGGCCGGACTCTTTTGGGTTTAGGGTCGATCAGGTGCTCTAAGTACAAAAGCCCCGGACCTTTTTACGCGCAGAGCGGCCGCAAAAAAGCGCAACCCGGCCGCAAATAACCGCAACCGGCCGCAAACCCAAAAAACGTATCAAACCCAATTTAGGCTTCGGCTGGATTTCAAAAGAAGCGTCCCTAAATTCGAGCATTGGCCTCGTAGAAGCCGAAGAAGGGAAGGATGCCCGCAATTCCTGGCAAAAGGCGGGCTCTCAGTGGCTGTGCAAGCAGAACATGATGTTCCCAGTGCTTGGTCATGCAGTTGTTAACATGCTGGCTTGTCTGTGTGTCCGGACAGCTTCCAGGTGTAGGCTTTGTGCCCATGGCTTCCCGGAGAGGGTCTTGTAATTCCTTGCAGGAAGGGATTGCACTGCTTGATCGCAACTCGATGGCTGATCAGACTTCCAAGACTGATTTGCAAGCTCGCATTGCAGTTGTTTGTCAGCAGTATGATATGCCACCGAGATTCCCCTAAACCCTAAACCCTAAAAACCCTGAAAACCCTAAACCCTAAACCCGAAACCCTGAACCCTAAGAACCCTAAACCCTAAAAGCCCTAAACCCTAGACCCAAAAAGCCCTAAACCCTAAACCCCTAAACCAGTGTCTTACCCGCAGACTAACCTCGACCAAACCCCGCTGACCACTAAGGCTTCCAAAGCCAGGATCCAAGCCCTTCAGGCTCAGCTCGCAACCCGCCGGTCCTCTGGTCGTAAAGACGATGTGGGCTCGCCACCTGCAGGTTCTTATGTCTGCATTTACCATGGTGTGGTTTCGGGTTGCAGTGTTAAGGGTTTTAGAGGGATCGCATATGTGTGCATGCAATATGTATGTATGTATGTATGTATGTATGTATGTATGTATGTATGTATGTATGTATGTAGTCATGTATGTATTTATAATGTATGTATAGTATGTAGTCATGTAATGTATGATACGTGTGTATATATATATATGTATACATGTTTGTGTATGTGCATATGTATGTATGTATGTATGCATGCATGTATGACATGAATGTATGTGTGTGTATGTATGTATGTCCGTATGTGTAAACTCGAAATCTTTAAATGCAACTGAGGCACTTAGTTGCATGCTGTAACTTCCTCGCATGTATGTACACATATATATATATATATATATATAGCTATGTATGTGTGTATGTATGTAAATGGTATATTTACAATGTATCCTATATATATATACTAGATGATGTATGCAATGTATGTATGTATGCATGCATGTATGTATGCATGTATATGTATGCATGCATTTACACTTGTATGCATGTGTGTGTATAGATGCTCATGTATATATGTATGTGTGTTGTTCTACTAGCACACATGCAGGCATGCTCGCATTGCATATGTTTGTATAGAATGTGTATCTCTATATATATATATATGTGTGTGTGTGTAGATGTTTGCCTGTACTGTATATGCATGTTATATGAGCACACATGCATGTGTGTGTGTGTGTGCATGAATGTGTCTGCCTGTGTAGGCATATATCTGTGCATGTAGTATAGAGTTTGAATGAACGTGGTCGTGCATATATATCTACATATGCAATATCGCAGAATGCATATATATATATACATAGCATGCACCGACGGATACACCCACACACCCACACAAACATACAACCCACCAACCCACCAACCCAGGCCCAACCCACCGGTTGGCCCACCGCCCACCACCCCCCCCTATATATATATATATATTATATATATAATATTATATATATGTGTTATAATATATATATATATATTAAGAAAACAGACATGTACACAGTCGGATCTCAGGTGCCCCAGCCATTGCAAAGATGGTTTCGCAAGATGCTTTGGCAGGCGCTTTGCCTGTGCCTCTGGGACACTCACCAGATCGATCGATGTCTTTGAAAAGTGGAAACTCGTATGACAGCAATATCGAAGATGCCCAGTGCCCCTATGTGAGGAAGAAGGACCTAGCGGCTGAGCCCGACAAGACCTCGCTAGGCCCCGAGCCAGTCACGAACCCTCGGCCCAGCAAGAGCATGCGACTTGCACGCCCACGCCCGAGTCAGACTTTGCGGCGGACAAACGCAGGCTCTCTCTTGCCGCCGACAAACGCAGGCCCTACCCCGACCCCGCCGCCGACAAGCGCAGGTGATCCCTTGCCACCGACAAACGCAGGCCCTAGCCAGACCCTGCCACCAACAAACGCAGGTGATCCCTTGCCACCGACAAATGGAGGCCCTAGCCAGACCTTGCCGCCGACAAACGCAGGTGATCCCTTGCCGCCGACAAAGACAGGACACAAGCCGGCGACGCCGCTGAAGAGAAAGGCAACCGATGTCGATGTCGGGAGCCGTGTTGGATCCCCCCCGCCCAGTGTGTCCCCTCCGTCGTCTTCCAATGCAACATCCACGGGTACTTCTGAACGACCGCGATCCAAGAGTCCGAGCTATTGGCAGAATTTCGGTTGAAGTTATGCTAAACAAGCGATCATGTGCAGTGATATCATGGCATGCTAGTGCATGATTTTTTTCCGAGGATGCGGCGATATTTCGAACCAAAAAAATGTGGAAGTCTGAAGTGCTCTGATGCAGCTCTCGCCCTCTACCGCTCAGCAGAGGGACGCAGCTGGGCCGTTACGCATGCATATATCCACATATGTGTTCAGTGCTTTCTGTTTGTGGCCTAGGCCTCAAGCTCCGGGAGCTCCTCAAGACTCACGGCAGTTTCAAAGCAGTCGAGGTGCACATCAAGAAAACGCATACCGCTAGCTTCGGCAAATGCAAAGCCGGTCAATGGGTCACCAAGCATTACCTTTTGAACGTCTTGATGTGGACAGCGTCTTGTTCTCAGTCGTATAGCTGAGTTGCTTTGCAATGTGGGTATATGATATTTTCCAATTTCTCGTGCATTTGGTTGGTGAGGAAGATGGTTACTGCAGCCTGGGTTTGGGCGGGGAAGACAAAAAATCTTCGCCGCAACCCGGTGCACGGCGAAGAGGAGGCTCGCCTGGTACTTACCGATAAGTTCGAGGCCCAGGACACAACCACCCAGGAGACGGAGATGGGTGGCACAATTGAGCTCGAGGAGACCTGTGTTTTTGCACATGATGATGCATGGTATTTGCCCTGCCCATCACAGATCAGCACAGACTTAGTGGTGCATATCACGCAAACACATATGCCTGTATATTATACATACATATGTATATACATATGCACGTATATATATGTATATATATATACATATACATATATATATATATATTGTATACACGTACATACATGCAATATGCCTGGGTATGTTCACACACACACACACGCATTGAAATTATATCCTGTTGAGGACGACAGCGGCTTTCTGCTTCAGCAGGATACACCGGACATAGATGCTGAGGATGCAGCATTGATGAATGGTGTTGCTGCCCCAGCCTCCAGCAGCAATGGTGGTACAACAGCGCAGTTGGAGTCTTTCTCTTCTAGTGCATCCTTCAAGCTACTAGCTTGCATCTCCATTGGCAATGCACAACCTGTCAAACCCTGAGCCCTTAAGCCTTAAAATCCTAAACCTTCAAAACTTAAGCTTCGCCTCTGATAAGGCTGGTGTTCCCAAGCCTATCGCAAACCAGCAGCCCGGTTTCCCTGCTGCCGGAGTACTTGGAGATCTTGGGTAGGAAAATCGACAACTACGAAGATGTGCTGGACTGTGCTCCGGGGTATGTGCATACACTAATATAGCTGTAAAACCCTAAAGCCCCAAAGCTTGCATACCCAAAGCCCCTCGTGCCCTACAGGACCGTCTCAATGCTGCTGATGGGGCCCGAGCCGAAGGGATGCTTGCTTGCATTAATGGATCCTATATATGCCACCCGAAACAACGATTGCACTGCTGCTGCTGCTGCTGCTGCTGAGGCTCCGGGACCAAATCAAGGCCCAGCTCGAGAAGCTCCAGACGTGCTTTGATGATCTCACCAAGAAACAATCCGATGCCCTCACCCGCCCGCTGGACAAGCTGCTTGGTCTAACTCAACAGCCCTCGCACTGTGCACCCTGAAGCCCTATTTCCTTGCAGGCCCTTCCAGGACTCCATCCTGAAGATGTTCGCCGAGGTGACGAAGCAGGATCTTATCATGAACAACTACATCGTGAGATCTCGGACCCTTGTCATATTTGCCATATGAATATATATATATATATTATATGAATAAATAAATATTATATATATATATGATTACAAGTTATGAACTTATATATATATATATTCATTTAATTATTTAGATTTACTATTATTAATGCAGTCGGGCCTGACACACATGGGTGGGTCTTGGAAGCCCTCAGCCTCCAGCTCCAACAACCTGAGATCCTAGATTGCAAGCTAGCTATATCCCAAACCTTAAGCCCCAAACCCTTAAGCTCTCGAACCCTGAAGATGCTATAACAAGTTGCATCCGAAACCCTACGAACCCCAAATCCTGAGTTCTGTGACCCTAGCTACAACCCTATATACATTTAACTTTTTTAATTCTATAGAATCCCTACCAACCCCTATAAGCCCTAAGCTCTCGAATAAGATCCTAAATCCCTCAAGCCATCTTGTTCCCAAAAGCCCCAAGCCGTAAGCTCTCAAATCGGGAGATCGTACTAGTCCGAAACCCTAAACCCCAAAACCCTCAATCCCTCTAAGGGGTGTGAAGCCCGCGACGGGTTCCGGGAAGTCGAAAGCCAAGACGGCCAAGCCGGCCAACAAGGAGAAGAAGGATAAAAAGGAGAAAAAGGAGAAGACGGCGAAGAAATCCAAGAAGGAGAAGAAATGAGGGAAGTTCGGCCAAGCCTGCTTTCAAGCTTGACAAAGCTGGTGCATCAAATGCTTTGCACCCGCAACGTTTAATTACCCGAATCGTGTGATGCTGTGTGCTCAGCGCTAGCCGCTAGCAGTTCATGTTCCGATGCACACGCGGGGAGGCTGTGCAGAGAAAGAGGGAGCAAGAAATACTGCAAAGAGTGGACATGTTTGCACATGTGCAAAGCGATTGCTCTCTGCAGATCCAATATGTTAACAGCTGAAGTAGTACGAAGACAAGTCAAACGTACATGTACATCCGTACAGGCATGCTTCGACAACAACCCGCAGATGCTCCTGCACAAGGTACACGATGTCGGACCATGCAGCTACAAACCCTAAACCCTAAACCCTATAAGCCCTAAACCCTAAACCCCACACCGAAATCATAAGCTAATCTAGTACTGTTGTGGAAGGCATGCTTCCAGAACAACCAGCAGATGCTCCTGAAGATGCACGAGGTCGGGCCTATCGTGAATCCCCAATATATTATAATATATAACAACCCCAGATCTAAACCGAGTAGATCCCACCCGACCCTATGACAAAAGGTACCTCTAGCTTAGGGTCTCCTATCTAGCCCAGCCCCCAAGCCCAAAGTCGACTGCAGTCCGAAAGCCAAACCCTGAACCCTGACCCCTATAAACCCCAAAGACTTAAAGCTGCAATCCCTTGCTGAGCACGCAGGCCTTTCTACGCATGAAGACGATCTGAGCGACGACGATGACCTGGCTAATGAGCTTCTGGTTGGTTTCCAGACTGGGGTTCCTTAGATCTTCATATGATTTCTTATTTTCCTCTATGTTGCGAACATTGGACTTAGGCAGAAAGTGCTGAACGTGTTGTCCGGATAGCTCAAGTGGCCTCCCGCAAGATGCAGAAGCAAGGAGACGTGGTCAGATAAGTTCGATGGCTACATCCTACCTTGCCCAAACCCCCCAAGCCCTAAGCCCTTAAATCCTAAACCCATGCATAGTTATACACAGCCGTTTCTATCGTAGGGGTTTTGTTTAAGCCTTGGGCTAAGGACCGGTAGACCCGTCTCTAAAGCTATTGGCTGCACCTGGATCCTCCAACGCCTCCCGCAGCCTGTATCGACTTATTCAGCGGCAAGGGCATTGTCTGCCGGTGAGAATCACTGGGGTCGATGCACCAATCCGAGTGATCAAGAAGGGCAGAGTGCTACAAGAGGAGTGGTCTTTTCCAACTTTGCTTCCGAGCTCGTGGGTAGAGTATGCGCTTAGCATTGGAGGACAGCCTATTTTAGGGGGCCATACATTGGATGGAGTCCAAGCATACACTACAATGCTCAAGCAGTTCTGGCAACAATATCGGTGCACTCACCCGTCCTTCGATGCATTTACAAGGGAGGACTTCGATGAGATCGCTGGCACCCTCATACCATTCGCCATACATGGGGATGAGGGCAGAGGAAAGGTTAAGAAGCCTATCATATGTCTTTCTGTCCAACCAGTCATTGGGGCTAAGGGCCTGGGTTTTCTCAACATGAGTGGGTATCTTGTCGACATTCGAGTATTGCAATTTTAATATTATATATGTTGGCCAAAAACTCTGCCGTTCTCAATTCCCCGCTAGAACCAACAAGGCACTCGTTCACCAGCAGGATGCTCTACACGTGTATACCGTCCGAGATGTATTGTGGTGACGAAACACTGAGAGTCCTTCTGGATGCACTATCGAGCGACCTTGCACAGCTGTATCGTGACGGCGTGGAAGCTTCTCGGCCTCGGCTTTGGATGCTAGGCTTTGTAGCCTGGGGTTGGTGTGTTTGTAGAATTTGTTCAGTCGCGAACTACAGAAGCTGCTCCATGAGGTGATACACAAAGGCCGTGCAATTCGGTTTCGAGTGGCCTTGCTAGCGGTCAAAGGAGACTGGCCGTTTCTTAGAAAAGCCATGGGCTTGGCATCCGGGTTTACTTCCAAGTACAAGTGTCATATTTGTATGACAGAAGAACCTGGTTCGCACTAGTAAAAGCTGTTATGTAAATTTTATATTCTAAACCCTAAACCCTAAACCCTAGCCTATAAAAGATCTTATGCTATAGAAGGTGCTTAGGATATATTATCTAGCTAGTAGTTGGCATCTACAGGAGTGGTATGACTGCTCAAAGGAAGCCCTCGCCGCTGCCCATGCGCAAGATCCGAAGCCCAGTCCATTCAAAGAGACCGAACCTCCCTGGCCTTTCAGAAAGCTACCTACAATCTTGGACAACGCATCAACCATCAAGCCGGATGTGGCTCACACGTATGCCATAGTGGGATGGGGAAAAGATCTTGCGGCATCCAGCTTGATTCTTCTGTGCCGTCTACGGGTTTTCTCTGGGCGATCTATTCAGGAAGCACTCGATGCTGCATATACAGACTTCAGGGACTACGTGCACCGAAAGGGCAAGTCAACATCAATCACCAACTTCAGCCTCAAAACCCTGAAGGTGGAGACGCACCTCGCCGTACATAAGCCCTGGCTACAAACCACCTCCAATGCTAACAACTAGTAAACCGACTAAACCCTACAATGCTATACAGCCGTACAGAAGCCATAAACCCTAAACCCGAGGCAACTAGTCGATTCAAATAGTGACCCACCATGTAGGTTGAAAGAGTATCCTGGCGGCTGTGGAAAGGGCTTCGACTGCGGTGTTATGAATGGCTGGTTGGAAGAGGTGACAACTCGTGTGCAACAGGCATCGCTTGTAACTCTCTTGGCATAGTACAAACCATTATTTTTTCAGCCCCAGGCCCTATATACGATGACAATCCCTATAGGGTTTAGGGACTTAAGGGTTTAGAGTTTAGGGCTTAAGGGTTTAGGGTTGAGGCTATTATATAACCTAGGATCCCCAACACCTCGAGCTCTTCAAGTTGCTTCAATGGACCATGCAGTGTTGTGGAGTGCACTTCCGAACCCTTTACAAAGGAGGTGTGTTTTTGACCAGGGCCCAGGCTGCAACATCGGCGGAAGCCGGTTGGAAGATGCTCGAACCTTGGCCACGGGGTTCTGTGCGGGTTCATCATCCCTAATGCTTAAGGTAGAGGGGCACCTGTGGTTCCGTGGTTCCATACAACATCGTTCTAAACTGAGGAAGGCTTCACCCGACTAGCCCGGAAATGCGCAGAACTCCAGTGGCCTTTGTATCGCATACGACCGAAGTTCCATATGCAGGCGGAAATCATGCAGCTTCGCTCAGACAGGTGGCATAAGTTTTCTAAGTAGTGCAAAGAATTATCTAGATCCCTAGGGTTTTGTTGGAGAGTGCATGCACTCCAAGATATGACCTCGAACTTCAGCTGCAGAGCCGCAGCCCGGTCATTATGAACTGCCTTAGCTACTTGGCTATCTTATCGAGAGAGCATCATGAGCATCGCATGCAGTATGCATCATGAGCATCGAATGCAGTATGCAAGGTAGGTCCCTGTTATGTGTGCAAGGTTGGAGCACTTGGTCAGATGAAGATTTCATTGGCCGCATATCCCGGATCAGCCGCAAGTGCCACCCCTCTACGACCATCGCCCGCACAGTTACCAAGTCTCTGATGCACTACAAGACTGAATGGAGTCGTGTGTTCGACTTGCATCGCTGAGCATCTGGCGGGACGAAGATGTCGAGGAAGGGCACGTGGTCCGGGAAAAAGTGTGCACTGTGCTGCGCACTGGATGTTGGAGGGGTTATCTATAAAACCCTATAAGCTCGGTCCTACACCCGATGAACGAAGATCAAACAACAGAGGAAAACCAGTAAATTTCATTATGCAAATCCCGAACATATACATCCCAAATCGTTTCCTGCTTGGAACCCTATAGGTTGACCTATAAATATATACATCCCTAACCCTTAAGCTTGAATAATGCTGAGACTTGCCAAGCTCGGCCACATTTCCGCTAAAGCGGCCGAATATCAAGAAGCGGCGATAAACCACAAAAGTGATACCGATATTTTGCGATACCGAAAATAGCATCACAAAGGAATGCTCAGGTAGTCTAACTTTACAGGGACCACGCGCTGCAAGGGGGATGTAATTGCAGTTGCTTCAGTCCTCTATGTTTGGGGTCGATGGCTTCAGGGTTTTGGAAAATGGGAAGTCAGGGGCGTTTGAGAGTCCGGGGGTTGCGGATTCATGCACTTTGGATTCGCCTCCACTGCCGCTTAAAGATGTGGCTCCACTTCTGCCTCCACTTTCGCACACTTTTCTGGCTCATCTGCGCTCTCACTCTCTCACTCTCACTCTCTCTCACTCTCACTCTCTCTCTCTCTCTCTCTCTCTCTCTCTCTCTTGCTCTTTCTCTCTGCAGCGCTGCTTCTCATCTAAGTTTCTCAGTTGTCTGACGAGATGTCCGATCTTTCGATCTCATTCTACTGACACTTGTTTCTCAATATAGGACCAACAATCACAAGAATAGGGAGCAGGTGATTTTGGGTTCAAAGGTTGGCTTTCGGTTCGAGCCCTGCGCATCTCTGCATCTTCCTCCCACTTGCTTAGGCGCTCGGACCGAGAATCTTCTGCGTTCTGAAGTTTGAAGTGTAGGGCACCGGGGCATTCAGGTCTTCATGGGCTTGGACCTATGCCCAATACAGGGCACCTGGTCACGGGGCCACCAGAAAGTCCAGTTGAGTTTGGCTGCTTTGGCCTTTTTAGGGTCTGTGGGGGTTAACTAGGAACTCTCATGTTAAGATGTGAACCGCAATCTGTAATCTTAGACCCTGCAAGACGCGCGAATCACAGCAATCTTGAGCGTCCCAAAGCCACAAAGCCCCAAACCCGATTGAACAAGGGGCTCTGCTTCCCGGGCAGTCGAATCAGTTGGATCCTGATATTCAGAAGCCGTTTTCTAACTGTTGATGAAAAACCTTCTGCAAACAACAAATGGAGTCTATAGTAAAGCATGAAGGCTAGTCACAAGATTCCGGTCTGATGCCTCTCTAACTTTGCTCTGCAAGGTTGCCGCCCCAGTTCGGCAGCATCGGCGCTCAGTATAAATGCTTCGCCTGCAGCGATATGAGCTACCGAGGCTACTGGCAAAACTGCATAACGGTGAAAGCATGGCTAGAAAGAATCCTGCAGACGGTCCCTCATGGCTTTGGATGGTTGGGAATTCAGAAACCGGCGTTCCAGCGAAGGGGAGACGTCCTACGGGATATGGCTGTGGGTAGAGGCTGACCTCGAGCTTTCGATTGGGGAGCTCCTCGCAATTTCAGCAGGGCACCTCGTCGTACACTCAAAGAGGAGAACTTACGACTTGTCCACATGCTAAGTCGTGCCCGAAACACTAAACCTGAACTCCCTCAATTCAGGCCTCTGCTCATCCGGGATGCACCAGAGAGGCGGCACAGATAACACTAGCCACTAGACGGCTCGATGCCAATTTCTCAAGCTGCCCCGAAACCCTTAAACTGGAACGCGAGACCCGCTCCTTGTCACCTCAAAGCCCCATAGCCCTAAATCCAAAATCCAATATCCAACGCCGAGAACCATAGTCCAGAAATCCTTTTGATACCAAGCTTTCACTGAGCTGCCCGGCATTTTCTGGGCCAGCCTTCAGACGCTTGTTCAATTTTGCGAGCGCAGCACCTCAGTCGTGGACAGGCCAGGAAGAGCTTTGGTTCAGAACCCCCTGAGCCACAAAGCCCTATACTAAATCACTGGCTTACAAACCCTAGACACAAGCCTCAAAGCCTGAAAGCCCCCAATACCCTGAAACCGTTGAGGCCCAAACCACAGCGGCTATGGTTGAGGGATGTAACTTTATGTAACTTTTAGGTTCAGGGATCTAAGGATTTACGGCTTTCGGGCTTATGGCGGGAGACAGCCTTGGATAGGATTCGACGCTCTTGGGCTGTCTCTGAGAAGAAATCGAAGCTGTGACCGAATAACGTTAGACATTGTGCCTGAAACCTCATACCCTAAAGGTTGAACCGCAACGAGACTAAAGCCCAAATAAACGCGGCGTCGCTCACATCACCTAGACTGACCTGTACAACTGAACCACAACCTCAAAAGCATCTCAAGCCGAAGCCCCGCCAACCCTGCAACCCGCAAACCCCCACCCGAAAGCCGGAACACTGAAAGGTTGTAGGCCCACCAACACCCTGAGCCCTATTAACCCCTTTCGTCCTGCCTCGCTTCTCAGCAGCAGTCGGGGCCTGAAAGCAACCAGCGCGGGCGTTTAAATGATTAAGGCTAGGATCGGAGCTGGGAATTCAGGCTTCATGACTTTGGAGCTTCAGGGTTTATCGGGTCTCGGATATCGAGATCACTTGCGGTCTGACCCTATGTTGTGGCGGCGAAGCTGGCTAAGCTCAATCCCACGGTCACGCGCTGCGGACGTCAGAACTTTCATAGTGCAAATAGGTCCCTGAAACAACGTAGCCCTCAACCCTAAACCGTCCAAAGCTCTCGCCTTGTTTTTTTGGCGGAGTTCAGCTTACCGAATCCGAAC